AAGAAGTTAATGATGGTGAAGTGAAACCAGGTATAGATATTGGGAACAACAAAGGCCAAGTTCCAGTAACTGTTAAAAGAGAGGTAGAACTCATTAGGTGTCATCAAGCTGAAGTCAAAGTAACTGAAGAAGTTGATGATGGTGAAGTGAAACCAGGTATAGATATTGGGAACAACAAAGGCCAAGTTCCGGTAACTGTTAAAAAAGAGGTTGAACTAATTAGATGTCATCAAGTTGAAGTCAAAGTGACTGAAGAAGTTGATGATGGTGAAGTGAAACCAGGTATAGATATTGGGAACAACAAAGGCCAAGTTCCGGTAAATGTTAAAAGAGAGGTTGAACTAATTAGATGTCATCAAGTTGAAGTCAAAGTGACTGAAGAAGTTGATGATGGTGAAGTGAAACCAGGTATAGATATTAAAGCAGAGGAGGAGAAAGATCAAGATTTGAAGCCAATAATCGATTTTCTAAAAGCAAGTGTTTTGCGGCCTGCTTGGGAGAAGGTGTTTAGTCTAGGCCCTGTGACAAAGCACTATTGGGCGCAATGGGACCAGTTAAAGCTTAAAGATAGTATTCTTGTCCGGAGATGGGAAACTACAGATGGGAAAGTGACGACTTGGCAAATGGTTATACCGAGAAAGTTAAGGGACGTTGTGCTGCGTCAATCCCATGATACTTTCACAGGAGGACATCTCGGAATTAAGAAGACATTGAGTCACCTACAACAAAGATTTTACTGGATAGGTATGAGGCGAGATGTAGACGAATGGTGCAGGACATGCAGTACATGTAGTGCTAAAAGGGGACCCAAGCGTAAGGGATGCCCACCTTATGAAGAGTTGCCTGAAAATGTGTCAGAGTTTGTGAAAGTGTTATCGGAAAGGATGGATGATATTCACCATCAAGTGCATTCAAACTTGAAAACGTCTGCTGATTCGATATGATAAGAGATCTACTGAAGTCAGCTTTGAACCAGGAGACAAGGTATGGTTGTATAATCCCAGGAAGACCAAAGGGAAGTCTCCTAAGTTGTCTTCTCCATGGAAAGGCCCATATGACATTGTGGATCGTCTCTCAGATGTGACTTTCCAGATAAAATGTGGTTGGTGAGGTAAGCCAAAAGTGGTGCATGCCAACAGGCTTTGGCGTTATCACGATCCAGGACCTTTCAGT